ATGATAAAATCAAAACTGGTAAAGAAAGTGTTTGGCTTAAAAATGTAGCGGATACCGGTATATTGAATAGAGGCGGACTGAGTGATGTGTTCAGAAATCCATATAATTATTCCCCAAATAGGTTTCATCACAAGAGTAGAAGTAGAAATCACCGTAAGAGACAATTTCTGTCTATCATGGCGAAGCTCCGTTATTAATAGTTCTAAAGGAATTAGTTATGAACTAATTAAAGAAATCCCGTCTTTCGAACAATTTTTTAATTTCGAAAAATCGTTATATCTCCCGCTTTTGAACAAGCCACCATAATGTTCCAGCAGAAACAGGCAGATGGCGTGAGGAGAGAACATGTCCTCGACATGTGCTATTCTCCAGTCACTGCAGATTGATGTACGCCATTTATTTAGATGTACGGAACGTTGTCTTTATATTTTAATGAATTATATTTTAATCTGCAAAAGGAAAATGTCAGAATTATTTAAGAATCTGTCGAAATATTTATATATTGTTTTTAAAATGTTAAGTTTACCTATGCTACTGATATCACCATTCTTGACTGTTTATGTAATACAGGTATATTTGTATTCTCTTGCACCAAAGTGGGTGCTTTTTGAGAAAAATAAACTTGTCTTGTCATGTTCTTAGTTGCTTTTACACCACACTTTCAGGCTCACCGCCCCATTGTGTATGACTGTATGACAGTGGTGTACAGATAAAGAAAATGATATAGAACTTCAACGTGGAATGTCTAACTGACGTATTGCAACAAAGTTTTGCGAACATAATGATAAAGGTAATAGTATAACAGGATTTACATGGTCAGTGCTGTTTGCTTCAATAGAATGTGCCCATGTGGGGAATCGAACCCGGGTCTTCGGCGCGACGAGCGAACGCTCTTACCACTAGGATGTCCCACCGCCCCTGTAGTGCTTGAGAAATGTAAATTTAATGACACAGACAAAACTAGCCTTGTGAAAAATATTGTTAATGCCAACAAGTGTTCCAAAATTGTTTGTGTTCGATTATGAGAAAACATGATCAATTGCATGGTCGTTTAGTTACTGCGACAAATCTTCGATTATTTCAATTAATAGGACCACCACTTGTGTGACGCCCTTGGCAAGACGTGACAGTGTTTTGACTTTCCATTCCCTAATTAAAGTGTTGTAACTCCTTTACTGTCCTTATAGATTCATGCTGAAGCAGCACATATTTATTTTATGGGCATCATTTTTTAATGTGTTTCACGTAGCCACCAAATTCTGAACATGGGTGGGTCGGTCGGCCGGTAAAAAATAAATAAAAAATAAATAAAAAAACTTAAAAAGACAAAATTATCTGAATAATGTTCTTGATTCTCATTTATTGTAATTCTTATTACAATTTCTTGCGTTCTTTTGGACTTGTGGCAGCGACTGATTTAAAGATAAACATTTTATATGACGAGGCGGTACGTTTTAGGTTCGAGTCGGCGGTGTTGGAATGAAACAAAGAAGACGTTATTTTGAGGGGTCGGCAATAAAATAAGAACGGTCGGTCGGGCGATGAGAAACACAAAAAATAAAAATGCGGCCCTTTTTGGAAACATATACTGATATAACACAATAGCTCTTCAGGCACTCTTCAAGTTGCTAAAATTACAATTATAAAGCCATGTGCTTTCATAGATATATCTAATCGATGTTCACCATAAATATGAGCCTGTCTACTCACAGCTGAATCATGTTCTTGAAACCAGGGATACTCTACAACGCTGGAACACATGTGTCAACATCAGCTGTCCATTTTTTTAAAAATCTACTTTGAGACCTTTTTTACATTAGTAATTAATGCAGATATCTTATTGCATGTGTGGAATGGCATGGACATTGACAGAATGTTAAGTGACACTGTCACACACCCCTCAAAAACAGAAAGTTTAGAACTATAACAAAGCGTTGTAAATACCTTTCCAGTTTTGTCAAATACTAAGATCAACAAGAAAGAAAGCAGTTTTAGAACTATACCACTCAAGCATCACAAGCATCAATGGCGGATCAGAACAGATCGGCGATATGTCATATATTTCACACACCTCAAATACACCCTAACAAATTTTTTTACATTATAAACTATCACTATTACTTGCAAACACCTTTCACCTGATGGTATATTCCCCTCATAAAAATTAAAGGTGTATGTGAAAGATGTTTTAGAACAATAACTAGAAACACTCAAACAACGCCCTGTAGTATTTCAATGACAAATCGGCGACATGTCATATTTTTCACACTCCTCAAATACACCCTAACAAATTTTTATAGTTATAAAACTATCACTATTACTTGTAAACACCTTTCAACTAAAGGTATATTTCCCTTCTAAAAATTAAACGAATATGTGAAAGAAGTTTTTAGCGATAGACTTTAGTCTTTCTTCGCTGTGTACCGAGAACTGAAGCCAGTGAGCTACTTGAAACTTTACTACAAATCTACTGTACTAATACTGACACTAATAACAATTATTTGACTTAAAATGAAGTGACAGAATAGGTAACTTATCTTTTACATGTAGGTTTTAGTTGTCACAACACTCAGCGAATGTAATCAGCTGTTGAAAACAAACCAAGCTCAATCTTAAAAACTACTCTTCCGCCATATTGGCTACACTGGTCACGTGACGAGCCGAGGCATACGCTAAGGGGCTTTCCGAGGAGTGACCACTCCCTGTTATATAGTCTCCCTGTTGAAACATATTCCAATAACGAGTTACACAAACTTCACTCAATACGTTGTCTAATCATTATTGTATGCCATGCTCTAAACTGGCACAATAAATATCCCTGACAATACGCCCATTAAAGAGCACACACAATACCGTATAATTGGTATACGTTTGTGTTTGATTGTTCCAGACCGAAGTGGTCAGTACGGCTTGACCTGGGCTGTCACAATTAACGTTATCCTCACAGACGCATCAACATAGACAAACGTTATGGATAAGAACTTCCCTTATTTCGTGAATGCGACGTTTCGATACAGATTGTTGTTCCGTTGTCCTCATGCTCGGTTTGAATTGACCTGGACTGTCAAAAACATCACAAACATATCACAGGTCACATCTTCTGTGCTTAGTTTGACAGGACAATATAATATCTATCTGAATATAACGGTTCGCCGTATTTTTAACTAAAGGGTCTGCTAAAGCCCCTTTATTACATTGTCTCTGACACGAGCTTTTCGTTTGTCTTGGTATATGTTGTGAAAATCAACATTGCAGATATGCCATCATCGTTACAACAGAATTTTCTCTTACAGTCATGTAAGACACTTTCATTTCATTGGTCAATGACGTTTAAACACGTTTCCGTCGTGACATCCCTCCCAGGAGGGTGACAGCTGCAAAAAATATTACCCGCTGCCACGGCAACCGCCAAACTCTCCGCCGAGAAGCTGTATCACTTGCAATCGTAAGACGTCATAATATGACGCATGCAGTGCACGGAGTTCGAAAACTGTTCGATTAACTGTTCTTGAGTTCCTTAAGTACACATGTATTTTACCGTCTTTCACTGCTTTATTTAAACTATTTTATACATTGCATCGTTTGCACACTCAACATAAACATAATTAACCATTTTTATAGTAGTTTTGAGCTTGTCAGAATATGTTTCACTAACTTTAAAACTCCAGTCGAGAGGCAGACGCCATTGTGTTTACATGTCATATAGTCGGTAGCGAGCTTATCGATCTTCAAAATAAAATAAAATGATATTTTGTACATTCAACATGTAAGATCAATACGTTGCAAACGTCTCCCTCGCGGTCTGATGCACAGGGGCGTGTCACGCTTAGAAACAGCGTTAGAAAGACATACAGGTATATAGACCCAACCCTAGCACTATATAAAAGGATCCTTTTATATAGTGCTAGGGTTGGGTCTATATACCGATATGTCTTTCTAACGCTGTATCTAAGCGTGACACGCCCCTGTGGTCTGATGTACGACGCTGTGTAGCAGTGCCTACCGACTCGGGTAACACTTCTACAAAGAGGCGTACATCAGACGGTATTACCCTCGAGGGAAGCATACAACTTATATAATCTTGCCTCACACATAAATGTCGGGCTCAGGGAACATAAACAAACATCGAGGGTACATCAGCCCATGTCCCCCTCGAGACCAGTGAACAACGTATAATGTCTACCGTAATACAATGTTATCCTCTCACAGCTAATGTGTTCACAGTGCTCAAAGTGAATTCTGTTCCCCTGTACTTTTCAGTTATAATGTTTATACGAAGATCTGGGTTAGAAATGGGCTTCCGTAACCCATGCTTGTCGTAAGATGGGATGAACATGTGGACAGGCTTGCTGACTTGGTTGACAGACCAATTAGACCATCTGTAAATAACGACACATACTATTCAAGACAACCGCCACATAGCTGGAATATTGCCTAGTGCGGTTTTAAACAAACAAACAACCAAACAACCAAACAAAAATCTTAGCCAGCGTGTGTTTGGTTCAACTTGGCTCAGGTTGTTAAATGCATCATAGATGCAACTTAAACATCCTGACTCATGTGTTTATATCTGTAGAACAGTATTATACTGAGGGAAAATAATAAGGGATCACATGAAAGCACAAGTGTTCCTGTATTTGTTTCCACGTTTCTTCAAAAGCCTTGTATCGCATAGCGTTGTATCGTATAGCGTTGTTGTATCGTATAGCGTTGTATCGTATAGCGTTGTATCGCATAGCTTGTGAAGAAACCTGGAAACAAATAAAGGAACACTTGTGCTTTCATGTGATCCCTTATTTTTTTTCCCCTCAGTATATATCCCTAAATTGTACAGTCTTTGTTGTTGAGTTTCAGTATTTTAAACTAATCCATATCATATAATTATTTATAGATATAATTAAGCCAGATGAGCTAAAACAACACATCCATAGTTGACGTTTTCTTTACATTTTTGAAAAGTTGAACATTACATTCTTGACTCACTAAAACACAATAAAACACACTTTCGCAAGGCAGTTTATTACGCATGTTAAAAAAGTATGCATGTAGCATTATGAAACTTTATTGTTTCTCCGAATAACATACTGCAACAACATAGTTCCAGCTGATCAGATTATGCATATTCAAGATGACAGGCTGAAGATTGTTAAGTGACACTGTCACACACCCCTCAAAAACAGAAAGTTTAGAACTATAACAAAGCGTTGTAAATACCTTTCCAGTTTTGTCAAATACTAAGATCAACAAGAAAGAAAGCAGTTTTAGAACTATACCACTCAAGCATCACAAGCATCAATGGCGGATCAGAACAGATCGGCGATATGTCATATATTTCACACACCTCAAATACACCCTAACAAATTTTTTTAAATTATAAACTATCACTATTACTTGCAAACACCTTTCACCTGATGGTATATTCCCCTCATAAAAATTAAAGGTGTATGTGAAAGATGTTTTAGAACAATAACTAGAAACACTCAAACAACGCCCTGTAGTATTTCAATGGCAAATCGGCGACATGTCATATTTTTCAAACACCTCAAATACACCCTAACAAATTTTTTAGTTATAAAACTATCACTATTACTTGTAAACACCTTTCAACTAAAGGTATATTTCCCTTCTAAAAATTAAACGAATATGTGAAAGAAGTTTTTAGAGATAGACTTTAGTCTTTCCTCGCTGTGTACCGAGAACTGAGGCCAGTGAGCTACAACATGCCGACTTGAAACTTTACTACAAATCTACTGTACTAATACTGACACTAATAACAATTATTTGACTTAAAATGAAGTGACAGAATAGGTAACTTATCTTCTACATGTAGGTTTTCAGTTGTCACAACACTCAGCGAATGTAATCAGCTGTTGAAAACAAACCAAGCTCAATCTTAAAAACTACTCTTCCGCCATATTGGCTACACTGGTCACGTGACGAGCCGAGGCATATGCTAAGGGGCTTTTCGAGGAGTGACCACTCCCTGTTACATAGTCTCCCTGTTGAAACATATTCCAATAACGAGTTACACAAACATCACTCAATACGTTGTCTAATCATTATTGTATGCCATGCTCTAAACTGGCAAAATAAATATCCTTGACAATCCGCCCACTAAAGAGCACACACAATACCGTATAATTGGCATACGTTTGTGTTTGATTGTTCCAGACCGAAGTGGTCAGTACGGCTTGACCTGGGCTGTCACAATTAACATTATCCTCGCATCAACATAGACAAACTTTATGGATGAGAACTTCCCTTATTTCGTGAGTGCGACATTTCGATACAGATTGTTGTTCCGTTGTCCTCATGCTCGGTTTGAATTGACCTGGACTGTCAAAAACATCACAAACATATCACAGGTCACATCTTCTGTGCTTAGTTTGACAGAACAATATAATATCTATCTGAATATAACGGTTCGCCGTATTTTAAACTAAAGGGTCTGCTAAAGTGAAGCCCATTTATTACATTGTCTCTGACACGAGCTTTTCGTTTGTCTTAGTATATGTTGTGAAAATCAACATTGCAGATATGTCCTCATCGTTACAACAGCATTTTCTCTTACAGTCATGTAAAACACTTTAATTTCATCGGTCAATGACGTTTAAACACGTTTCCGTCGTGACATCCCTCCCAGGAGGGTGACAGCTGCAAAATGCAAAAAATATTACCCGCTGCCACGGCAACCGCCAAACTCTCCGCCGAGAAGCTTTATCACTTGCAATCGTAAGACGTCATAATATGACGCATGCAGTGCAAGGAGTTCGAAAACTGTTCGATTAACTGTTCTTGAGTTCCTTAAGTACACATGTATTTTACCGTCTTTCACTGCTTTATTTAAACTATTTTATACATTGCATCGTTTGCACACTCAACATAAACATAATTAACCATTTTTATAGTAGTATTGAGCTTGTCAGAATATGCTTCACTAACTTTAAAACTCCAGTCGAGAGGCAGACGCCATTGTGTTTACATGTCATAAAGTCGGTAGCGAGCTTATCGATCTTCAAAATAAAATAAAATTGAACATTACATTCTTGACTCACTAAAACACAATCAAACACACTTTCGCAAGGCAGTTTATTGCGCATGTTAAAAAAGCATGAATGTAGCACTATGAAACGTTATTGTTTACACATGAAAATTTATCCGATAACATACTGCAACAGCATAGTTCCAGCTGATCAGATTATGCATATTCAAGATGACAGGCTGAAGAATCTTGTCTATCTCCTCACAATCCAACACGGGCATAGAAGTGTTCAGATGATCCCCAGTCATGTCAGAAGGTAATGCATCATGAATCACACTGCAAGATTACTCACAAGTATGGAATAATGTGTTATGTTTTAAAAGATGAAGTTAAGATCATTTCGTAACTCTAGGTTGACAAGTTGAGTAGGGGAGCTGTCAAGGAGATGGAGATAGTGTTGAAGATTATAGCACATGTATATAGCAACATGTATATAGCGCATGTGGGTGAAGCTGCTATGTACATCTGGGCCAGACATCAACCAGTTTGAAAATGCAGGTCACAAGATACAGTGAGTGAGTTTGGTTTCAGGCAACGTTCATATTTAATAGCTCGGTTGATTTTAATGATTTTTATGGAGAAGCATGTACAATCAGGGGTGGAAATAACTTTAAAATTGCTAGTGTACTCCGATACAGTGGCACATGCAAAATCACTTGCCCTGATGATTTTTCCACTATACCGGCCGTTTTCTTGTTGATTCTTTAAATAAACAACATAATTAACATTGGAAAGTCAACTGGACACCGGTACAGTGTGATATACAATTTGCTGGTCCGACAGAAAAAAACGCTGGACTCAGGCGTCGGGCAATGGGTTATTTCCACCCCTGACAATGTGCAGGACATGCCTTATATTCAGTATTCATGTACAAAGTAAATAACACCACCACCCCACCTGCATGTCATGTGCAAAATTGCTGACCCACCCCCTTGTACATGTGACCACTCCCAACATCAGCATCATCTGAAGCAACCTCCCCAGAACAAAATGGGTGATCCCCCATTAAAATCATCATCACCCCCTAACCATAAATTATGAACGGACCCTTACCTAACTTTTAGCAAAATTCCAGCAATATCGTGTCGGGATCACCAAGATAAAATGTTGTAGTTTAGCAGGGATACCACAATCAGACAGTGTATTCTTTGATATAAATCATTCAATTGGAAAAGTATGCATCATGAATAATTACCAGGATCAATTATCAGGATTTATTACCACATGTTGAATTGTGCAGTATTTTGAATGATAAAGTTAAAAGTATTTCTCATACAAACATACAACACAACTGTATCTATTGAGGATTTATCTTGGGCACATTGCATGCCTCCCTCCGTCACAGGGCACCTGTGCTCCCGTAATGAAAGAAGCATCATCTGAAGCAACAAAGGCAATGGTTCTTGCAACCTCTTCTGGATTTCCTGGGCGTCCAAGTGCATGGGTTTCCTTTGACCTTTCAAGGAACTGTAAATAAACACAGCAGGAGTAGAAGCCATTTTAAGCATCATTGTTTATGACGTCCGGTATGTTAGGTTCATGTCATGTAAGGCATCGTGATGAATCATTCTGTATTGAAAATATTTTGCTGACTGTGGGAGGCAAAACGGAAATAACATCCCGTTAAAGATCATTTCACTTTTTTAATGGTGTGTTTGTGTATGTGAGTGCATGCTCACATAACTGAACTAGACTGAACTTATTGTGGGTACTACTAGCTAGTTCATGCCATACCATGCCAGTCTAACAAAGACACCCCCCTCAGAAACATCATACTGACTGTGTGAATGAGTGAGTAAGCCCTTAGCAATGTTCCTGCAAATATCACTGCGAGGAACACCAGAAATGGGCTTCACCCATTGTACCCATATGGGGAATCAGCCCAGGTCTTTGACATGATGAGCAAACGCTTAAACCACTAGGCTACCCCACCGCCCCATTTTTATATTTCAACAACCTATGGCAATATTTTTCTTTTAGAACTTTCGGAAACAATTTTATCTTAGAATCTCAGGCTCTACTACAAAATATATGAAATTATTAGTCCTTGTCATCAACGACCACTTAACTCCTCAGTTTAAATGAAGTTAAGCAAACTAAGTTGATTAACTCCTCTGTTTAAATGAAGTTAAGCAAATAAAGTTGATTAACTCCTCTGTTTAAATGAAGTTAAGCAAACTAAGTTGATTAACTCCTCTGTTTAAATGAAGTTATTGCTAAAAGCGGCGTAAAACCCAACTCAGTCAGTCAGTTTAAATGAAGTTAAGCAAGTTAAGTTGATTCGATAAGTTATCACCTTTCACCAAACAGAAGGCATGTAAATGCATGTTTGGCTTGTACAGAGTATTTCCCAAAATGAGGATCAAAGGTGAGCCCTCTGATATCAGGTGCCCTCTAAAGTATTCCTGAGACAACACATTGATGCAATGCTGGAAAGTGCCAATTGATGCATCCCATTTGTACAGTCTGTTTATCTGTTATCTTTATTGTTTATTTATTAGGTATTTACTAAAAGGTGACAACACATAGACTGTTATTTGATTTCAAGATGTCACGCTAGGCAAATCATCATCATCATCATCTTCATCTCCACCATCATCATCATCATCATCTGATATATTGTCCATAACAACAAATAGTTTGATTTCAAGATGTCACACTAGGCATTTCATCATCATCATCATCATCATCATCATCATCATCATCATCATCATCTCCATCAGCAGCAGCAGCACAACCACCACCACCACCATCATCATCATCATCATCATCATCATCAACAACAGATGTGTTTAGTGATGTGAAATAGTTGTACTGAATATGGACACCCCACATCAATGATGTTATTGGCATTTTAGCAGAACATTATTTGAACCAGACCAAAGAAAATGCTAAGGTGACAAAAGTCATAAGGCCATTATCAGTCAAGGATAATGGCTACATCTCTGTTCCACACTGTTGACATACCTGCGCATATCTGGCCTCGTCCAGACCTCCTCGCTTCTGAAGATTGGTGACTATCACCCCTGGGCTGAATGGAAAGCAGGACATAATTAGTGTTAGTTGTTACAGACAAGCAATCATCTGAATCAGCCCACTGTCAGCTTTATGCTGCTTTGTGAAGCCTGTCAGCCTGAGGTGGACGAAAGCCGAAGTACCGATCACAATACAGCCCCCCAAAAATATATGTCCGTTTCCTATTACATGCTTTTTAAAAATAGGGTAGGTGGGTCGGTTTTATCTTCTTTTTTTTTATTTTTTTTTTTTTTTAGATGCACCAGGTGGACACCTGAGAATGTCTTCAAGAGTACCAAGTACCATATCATGTAGTGACAATGCCTTGTGATGAAATACTGAAAGATTTCTATATCAAATCATTATTTATGTTATTTATTTGCAGGTTTTGTCAGTGAGAGCCCATTATGCCAATTCAATGCAATGCATTTTAGCCCTATGTACACTGAAAAACATGAAAATATCATACTCGATTTGGATGAAAATGATGAGTTGAAATGCACTCCTGTCATGATTTTGACTAGGTTAAAAAAATATTTAGGGTCGGGGGGTTAGGATAGGGTCGGTCGGGTTACCGGAAAAGGACATATTATTTTTGGGCCTACCTACAAACACACTGGTGGGTTGATAAATGCTGACAGTCACTCAAGACTATGTTTAGCAATGTCCATGGCAACCAGGCAGCTAAAGCGTCACTTAAACTCCCAGAAATGAACTTAAAGTCACAATTTCACACATTCGCGACAATATTTTGGCCTATTATATATATTGGGGCATATGCACTCACTTTAGCTTCCTATTGTTGCAGTAAAAGACTTATTATCCCTTATTAACAAACAAACCTTCAAAGCTTTAGGTATATTTCTAATCATAACTGGCCTTTTAGGTCATATATAATCCACATAAAAAGTGCCAACAAAAATACCCAACAGCACATAACCTGTAAAAATCAAAACTTAATATCACCATATCAGGTATTAATGGCAAATGGTGCATAATTTCATTTCATGTGTCACTTTATATAAACTTTCATATGATGGATGATGTTTAAGTTTAAATAGGTTATGACACATATGGTTCAAGTTTTAGTTCATAAAATCTTGGCTATTTGAATAAAGTTTCAGCTTATGGAGACATGGATCATGTTTCAGTTCATAAAGGCCATAATGTAACGTTTTTTAGTTCAAAGAGACGATTCAACAACAAATCAGTTTTCAGTGCGACAAGTTTATGCCACTAGGGTCAAATTTAGTCCACAAAAGCTAGAGGCCACTTAGAATCTAGTTTTAGCTGGTGGAGTTCGTCAGGAATGGATCAAGTTTTGGCGCTCACGCACACACACACACGCACACACACACACAAATGTTTAAAGTAATTCCAAACTTGTATTTATTGTAATTGAATATTTATTTAAGATCCCAAAACAGTTGACTAATAAGTAGCTAATGTGTTGTACACCGATTATCCAAATACATGCCAGAAAATGCAAACATTAAGACAGTGAAATACAGGGCTGGAAATGACAGCAACATTCATCAAAACTTCTGTGACGTCCAAACAACTTGTTTATTGTAAGTTTTCATTTGTGAGCTATTGCTGGATGTGTGACCTATCATTTTCTTCTATCCTATATTCAGTTCAACTGACCACAAACTGATTGCCAACATGATGAGACTGCATTGCAGAGATCAATACACTGGCTTCAAAGTCACAGGCAATATCAGAACTTACCGATTAGGAAAGATCGCCACCTCGCATTATCTGCACTTTAAAAGAACTCTGTAAAACACTTCATAACAACATGTTTGACAGTCACAGACATTCCTCCTGGTTTGTTAAAGGCACAATGTCACACAATTTCGACAACATTTTAGCCTGTATTATATATATTAGGAGCATATGCACTCACTTTAGCTTCCTATTGATGCAATAAAAGACTTATTATCCCTTACGACTTGCCTGAAATCGATTATTGAAACTTCAAGGTGAACAGTTTCCAAACAGATAACAGTTGCCATATATGGAGGTGAGGTGAAATTGGGTTTTACGTCGTGCTTGAGAATATTTCGCTCATATGACGACGTGCATGCATGTGTATGTGTATGTGCGGGTGCTTGTACTAGCCCAGACTTAAGCTGGTTTTATAGTGCTAGCCCACTGAGATACCATGCCGCAGTGAAGCATGAATACCCCACTCAGACACATTATACTGACTCCGAGCCGACCAGTCCTTGTACCCATTAATGCCGAGCGCCAGGCAGGGACCAATTAACTACCATTCTTTAACGTCTTTTGGTATGACGCGGTCGGGGATCGAACCCGCGACCTTCCGCTCTCCGGGCGGACGCTCTAACCACTACACCGCGGAGGCGGTCCCCATATATGGAATATAAATGATTGCTCCGTACATCGAAAACTGTCGAACGCTGTGTTGTCGGTATTTGCCGAACTGGTTTCAATCACAATTTGTGCATAGGATATTCGTAAAGAGCGCTCCAAGGGACATGACTCTATTGGGTTCGCTTGAAATAATGTTCGGCCGATAGAGGGAGCGAGAGTCGATTTAATGCAACATTGCAATAATTCATTCGAACTTTTTAATTTAATATTGTAATCTAAATACGTTAATTTATTTTAGAATAAATTCTATGGTAGTTTCCCTGAAGGCTGATAGTTAGTATTATTGAGGGAAATGCATTATGTATTTTTAGAGCAGTGTAGTGTGACATTGTGCCTTTAAGGTGTGCACAAAAACATGCTGTACTGAACGTAGCCTACAATTTGATATACTCACTTTACACTGTTTACACGAACTTGTTTGGGAGCCAACTCTGGAACAGAGACGAAACGGGTAATGAAAACTGTCATTGGTAATGGAAAAATGTAACAGCATTTTACAGTACATGTGATGTAGTTGTAAACGACATATTGTTCAGAAAGTAGGGAACTGTAGCCCCCTCATACACAACTCTCACCATGACCTTAGGGCTGTTGTCAGTATGTTCAAGGGGCGGTGGGGTAGCCTAGTGGTTAAAGCGTTGACTCGTCATGCCGAAGACCCGGGTTCGAATCCCCACATGGGTACAATGTGTGAAGCCCATTTCTGGTGTACCCTGCCCTGATGTTGCTGGAATATTGCTGTAAGCGGCGTAAAACCAAACTCAGTCAGTCAGTCTTAGTATGTACTAAGTCTGCAAACATTTCGAAAACCTGAGTCTCTTTGGTCCATTAAGATCAGCAAATAACAGTCATAATAACTGGACTAAAATCTTCTGAAAATAGACGCCAAAAGCCAATTTCGGAACAGCAGACAAAAAACATGTTTTGGGCAGATTGTATACTGATGAACAAAACTAAGGGAACACAGAAGTAATGTTTGGGGCAGATTGTATACTGATGAACCAAAACTAAGGGAACACAGAAGTAATATTGAGCAATGATTTCAGCTTGTTTGACAAAACATATTTTGCAGATCAGTATTTTCTGTTGCAAAATAATGTTAGCGATGTAGATTTAGTGGGAAAATCTAAATGCTAGATCTTTATAAAATGTAGTTTATTACCATGATCGATTCTGACTAAAGGTGATGACAGGAGATGACTTGTACAATAAACATAGATTTATTCATATGAACATCATATATATCTAGGTAGCTGACAAATATATACAACAGTGGACCGAGCATGTTCCTAAGCAAGGTGAGGGCAAGCCTGTTGTTACTTTTTCCCTGACCGATGTTTAGTGAGTCACTATATAACCACAATGCCTCTATGAAAAATGTAATCAATTTGTCTTTCTTTTATATTTCCTGAAAACTGTATAACACATTAATTAAAATGACATGGTGTTTAATTAGGGACTTAGCTAAAACAATATTAAAAAAAAAAATATCATAAACTGTCATAGCTGCAGAAGAATTATACAGAGACGCCAACCATAAATTAGCCCAATCATTAGTTTGGCCAAAAACTGATGCAAATATTAGTGTTTCATGGCCCAAATTAGTATTAACTTTTCCAATTTCCAATTTTCATATTTGTACTCACCTAAATCAGTAGTAAGTATTCACATATAGCTTGATACGGAATAAAATGTAGTTGAAATTTATTGTGTATGGTACATTGCTATTTCATAATTTCATTTAATTTTTACTGCCCAAATCCAAGCATATCATCACAGGAGTGAGTGAGTCGGTGGGTGAGTGAGTGAGCAAGTCCATCCGTCCGTTCGTTCCTTCGTTCATTCATTCGCAAGTGATTACGTGCCTGACTCTGATGGTGTAGGTTGGAATAAACTTACCAGAATCTGTACTTTACTGAGAAAGTGTAATCCCAAATACAACACGTGTTCAATTTGACCCCTTTCTAAATGGTATTGTGTATTCATAGGTTTTGGCCGTGGGAGCCATTTTCTGGAAGCCGCGTTGGCTGAGTTAGATAGCTGACTTCGTGTGCCTGACTCGTGTGGGTGTGGGTTGGAATCCCGGATGGGACTCAACACAATAAAAATACCAGAATCTGCACTTGACTGAGAAAGGGTAATCCCAAACATAACAGGTGTTATGATTATAGTCTGTTTGCAATGAAAACATACCGATGAATTTCACTTTAAACAAAAACGTAAATCAAATAAAGTGAAATTTAGATTGCGAATCCTCTTAATTTTACTTTGCCAATTGTACTTTTTAATCTTAGAATTTTATTCAACTTAGGATAAAAGTTGTTTAACAAACAATCATAGATTCAAATCGCTATTACTGGTTTGTATTCCAAAGGGGTAAGCTCTGCACTTGGAGCTATGAAACAAATGCACGTGCGGTACGCGATGAGCGGTAAATTAGACCAACCCTACTTGTTCTCGGTGATTGATTTAATGTGCATACCCCTTGAAAATTCTTATAGATTTTCATCTTCTGAGCACAACTGTGGATAAATATCAAGTTTCAGTTTCATTTCCAACTTGATCAATAAATTTTTTAAATGTTGTAGATCAAAGTAAACATAATCGTATCAAATGGCAATGCCTAAGGAAGGGAATTATTTTGCATTTACCATTAGATCAGTTGTTACAGCATAAACGTGCAACGCATTTTATGTCCTATATACATATCCATATGTATATCCATTTCACTGTGCACTTTTATACAAATTGTAGCTCTTATCCTTTGATAAATGCACAAAAAAACTTATCCTTAAACAAAATCCTTAAACAAAACACTAACACACAGTATGTACCTCTGAGCAGCAACCAGTCAAAATCAAAATCATTTATAGGGAGCATCACAGGAAAATGGTTACTGTAGAAAGTGTAGCAGGACAATATGCTGGCTTGGCCAGTATAAAGAGAAAAGAAAAGTTATTGGAGAGGAACAGTTTTTATGTATAGACAACTTCTTTACTGCAATTGATGCAACCTTTCGGTGTAGATGCTAACACCATTATCTAGCAAATGATCATACCAGCTTTTATTACACAAAAGACCTTGACCTCATTCGTTGGTTTCACATTACTTTTCAACTCGCTATGCGCATGGTTTACAAAAGTAATGTGAAACCAACGAATGCTTTAGGAAACGTGGAGACAATGCAAACTAAGGACATCATTTAGTTGGATTCTATTGCAATGAGGAAGTTGTCTATCCACAAAAAGTGTTCCTCTTCATCACACCAGCTTCTAAAAACCACTTAAAGATGGCCTCTTGTCGGTGTGATGAGAGCCAAACAGCCTGACCCACTTCACAAAAGACCTTCACATTGACCTTGAACTCATATCATGCTTATGGAAAGGTTATGACCGTGCAAACTGAGGACGTCATTATTCAGTTGGCGTTCATTGCAATGAGGAAGTTGTCTATCCACAAAAAGTGTTCCTCTTCATCACACCAGCTTCTAAAAACCACTTAAAGATGCCTCTTGTCAGTGTGATGAGAGCCAAACAGCCTCACCTATTCACAAAAGACCTTCACAATGACCTTGACCTCATATCATGCCTATGGGAAAGTGGAGACCATGCACTAAGATCATCAAGTAATTTAGTTTCAATAATATACTAGCCACATAAAGAAACTGTGCATTGTCAAAATATTATCCCAGTTGATAAGTATGATAACAATGTCAAAGGTTCATATAATCTTTAATGCAGGGGTCATGAGACCATAACAAGTCGGGAGAATTTCAATTGAAAAGTCAATAACAATGACGTAACGAGTCCACAAGTGGGACAGGGGTCAAACGACCATGTCACAAGCTCAATAACGGGTATGTCCACCATCGGCATTGAGTGCATCGACATTGAGTGCATCGACGACGCATAGAGCCTATCAAACGTGCAAGGAAGGCTTGTGGGATGTCACGCCAGATTCTCTCAAGTTCTGTTGCAAGGTCAAGGACGTTATCTGGCGGATGAGGAAGACGGCGTAGACGTCGATCCATCTCGTCCCAAACATGCTCTATCAGGGAGAGATCTGGTGAATTTGCAGGGCAAGGCAGTAAGTCAACGTTGTGGTGTTGCAAGAAATTCCTTGCCTTATTAGGGCGGACATCGTCCTGTTGGAATGTTAACCCAGGGCCATGACGTTGCAGAAAAGGAATTGCCACAGGTCAAAGAATCTGATCCCTGTAGCCCACACCAGTTAAGTTGCCCTGAACAATCACCAAAGGAGTTCTTTGGCGTGCTGTTATTCCACCCCAAATCATCACGGAACCACCATCAAAGCGATTCCTCTCCAAGACACAGGCCTGTGCATAACGTTCTCCCACGCGTCTATAGGCACGTTGACGTCCATCACTATGGGGAATGTTAAACCTGGACTCATCTGTAAAAACAACATTTCTCCACCAAAACAAGGGTCTGCGGACATGATTTCGGCACTACATGCAGCGAGCTTATCGATGACGTTGTGTCAGGATAGGTCGTATGGCGGGACGTAGTGGTCTGATCCCGTGATGACGTAAACGTTGTCGAACTGTGTTGGGGTGGATACAGCGAAGTCCTGGGATGGTTCGGGCAGTCATCACTGCAGTCTGAAACCTCTGAGCGAAGATGGGTCACCCTTATCCATCTGTCCTGTCTTGGCGTTGTTACACGTGGACGTCCAGAATGTGGCCGATCGATGACGTCATTTGTGCAGCCACTTGTCGTTGAGACATTCCCCCACGGACCATCCCAATGGCCTCATGACGTTGTGCAGACGTGAGCCTTGGCATGCTATGCGTTTCAATAGCCGTTTAATTTTTTGAACAATTGCAAGGGCAGGGGTTGAGCTTTCCAAAGTGACAGTATTGTGTGGCATTCATTTGCTCTGTTTCTCTTTCCCGGAATGCACGTGCAACAACGTATTGCACGTCTCAAGGACGAACCCACTGACGTCACGGAACGTGGCATGTGCATGCATGTTGGATACATGTCATTAATCTCTGACTTTAAATCCTTGTGTGTCTACACAGGTTTGATAAATTTAGATTTTAAATTTTTGTATGCACAGTTTCTTTATGTGCCTAGTATATTTTAGTTCGAAGGACACATTTCCTTCCCACTTTCTGAACATCTTCCCTTTGGTTATCATCACAATACACTAAACCTAATATCCCTGGAACCACACATTAGTCATCAAAAACTTGCACTGCAAGTAATGACACACCTTAATGTAGATGGCATCAAGATAATGAAATGTACTCTTAATTGATTGTAGGGTAAAACGGTACGCTCTTACAACAGTACGGTACGTATTGCAGTACAAGGCCTAAGGTTCGGCATATGAGATACAATCATAATGCAGAAAATTTACAAGAACCAAACCTTACATTGTTTGATAACATGAAAAAAACATAACC